GTTAGAAAATGAATAGACCATTTGTAATTTGTATGTACTGAGTTACACTCAGGAAATAACTAAGCTATTAAAATAATATAAACTGAACTAAATCTGCTATACTTTTGAGCTTCCACTTGTTATTCAGCCAGGAAAGCCAGCTGTTCCGAAGTATCCCACTGCCACCTGTGCTGCTGCCGGCCAGAAAGGCCACGGCACAGGTGGGCCGATGGCACACGCTGCCCTAACCTGGCTCCTGCCGGGAAGAACCACCCAGAGCTTCCACCCACTCCTGAAGGCTCCATCTCCTGTATGGTGTGTGCGTGTGTGCATGTGTATGCGCATGAGTGTGTGCACGTGTGCATGTGCTCGCGTTAAGAGGGTCCCGGTTGTGAGCAAACATGCCTGCAGTTCGTGTGCAGGGCAACAAGTTAGGAAGTCAGTGCACAGGGCAGGAAGCCACGCGCCTCCCCCCACCCCACCCCCGCGCGCGCCTCCACCCCATGCGCCTCCTCCCCCCGTGCACCTCCTCTCCCTCCGTGTCCCCCCTCCCCCTCCCCGGCGCTCCTGTCTCTCTCTTGGGACAGAAGCTTTCTTTCTCTCAATAAATAGATTCTGCTCATAAAATAAATAAATGGAAAGGCAGCAAATAAGTGAGCTTTACTCTTGTAAATCAATGTTTTAAGGCACCTTAAAAGTTCACGATCAGCAAATGAAAAACCCACCAAGGTCCTAAAAACAGCTGGCAAACATTTTTAAAAATTAAGCTGCAAATGGTAACCACCCCACCTTAGCTGTATCTGGCAACAGCACCTATAGCAGTAACCCCAAACCTCTCAGAGCTTCTGATGACTGAAGAGTGGCACGGGTGCCACTGCTGACCTGCCACAGCTAACCAAACAGCTCTGGACTCTCACAGCTGGCGATGCTGGTGCCCTTGTACTGTCTATTGTCCTGTGGTAAATGAAGGCGTGGGAGGAGAAAAATGGCTCCTATGTTACTACTCAGAAAAACACTTATTTCCTTCCCAGTATCAGTCTGTTTCTTTTTCACACATGGAATGTGCAAGAGCAGGGGACGAAGCGTGAGTGGGAGAGCGGGCAAGCAGCACTGCGCCCACGCATGCTTCAGAGGGGGTCTCTGGAAATGGCCAGCGGCTCTCAGGAAAGGCAGTCCTGCAACATCTCCCAGAGGAGCAGACTTTAGGCACAATCAGTCAAAACCGTAAACTCATGGTTTAAATCTGTTTGCTGATATGGCACACTCTTCCTCTATGGTGACCATGGCCTGCTGAGTAGTGTATACTTTTTCCTCAGCAAGTCAAAAAGTTAAAAAAAAATCAAGTGTCCACAAGATCTTAGGGGAATACTTAACATAAATATGTATTTACTAAAGACCAATGAACACCTTAAATGTTGTACGCAAAAATCTCAAATTGCAAACCATTCATGTACAAGCTGAGCAGGGCAGTGCAGACCTATTAATGCCAGGACTTCGGCGCCTGAGGCAAGAGAACTGCCACAAGGTCAAGGCCAGCCTGGGCTCCACAGTGAATGTAAGGCCAGCCTGAACCACACAGTGAGACCCTGTCTCAAAAACACCGAAGAGAAAAAGAAAAACCTTTAGGTACAGAAAATATATTTCCTAACTCCAGAGCCTTATGATCCAGCTACCTTGATAGTTTAGCTATGAGTATGTACAGTTATGTCACATACTTGAATAGAATTTGCTTAGGCATACACACTGTGAGAATTGGAAATGAGCCAACCCATCTTTAAAATCACAGCAATCTGACTTCTGGTTTCTGGCGTAGCATGTAAAGAACTGAGAAGGGCTGGTGAGATGGCTCAGTGGTCTAAAGCACCTCCTTAGAACAAGCTTAGCAAAGCACAGGGACCGCGGTTC